AACTGCCTTGGTTAACAGTCATTAGCACTCATTTGACACCAAAATCAAGAGCTACACAGGTCTGATGATGATGTACATCTACATTCCCATAAAAACATAAAGGGAAAATGCAAATGTCTTCAAAACTATAATTCAACGTTCAATAATATTTTAAATGGGATGCATGCATGGTATCAGTACGTAATTATAGTCCGCTAATGACTCTAATATGTACACACAGCTCTGTCTTTTCTCTCTCGATGGTTTTGTCCTGTCATATGATTGATAATGTTAGAATCTCTCATTACGTCAAACCTCTTTCCACATCTTTATCACACATTGTCTGATCATGTGAAACAATGTTCTGTAAGTTATTGCTATAGCTATTACAGTGGATTTCAAAGTGCAGCAGAAGCAGAAATGTTCTAAGATAGGCAGAGGGACAGTGAGAGAATCTGCCCACTGAAGAGACTTTAGCACGACCTGATGTCATCTCAATTACAAACAAATACGATTTAAGTTCACTGTCTGCCTTACTTCCTCATGTACTTCAAACGAAACGTTTACAAGCTATTATTTATTATTATTTTACATCTAGCTGTACGAATTTCCCAGTATCGATAAAATGCTAAATCACCAGTTTTAGCGCTTGAAGCATTTTTCGTGATCTCACCGGGTGCTGACAATGACAACAGGTGGAGTAGCCTAAAATCGGCAGTGCACGCTTACGTAAACTTGGCGTAACGCAGTTAATTTGGCACAGACTTCTTTGGCTCTTCCGCATTGCTCCATGTGTTCCAAAGGTGTTCCTGATGGGAGGAGAAACAGAGTGGAAGTGTCTCAAACCACACAGAGTGGTCTAACTAGACGCTATCGGAATTTTAGGCATTTTCAAAAAATCTTTTGGAATATTTAGTGAAAACTTCAAAGTATAATTTCGAATCTGAGTCATTTTGGGCATTATGCGGATTTTTTTTTTTTTTAATTGGCCATCATAGGTAGCTCTTTACGCAATCTTACAGACTGTTGAATCGTTAGTCACATTTAGAACAGATTTTTACAATCGTGTAGAAATACTTAATCTATATTGTTTTAAAATAGAATTTTACGCATCTGATCTGTATGCAGCCTATTTATGTTTTTCAATTTAGCGATTTTAAATGTAGACCTTTATATAGACATTATTGGGCACATATTGTGTGTGTGTGTGTGTGTGTGTGTGTGTGTGTGTGTGTGTGTACCTGGTATTTATCACGTTATG